CCAGCAGCCAGGAACTGAGCACAGTGCTTGAACCCTCCGAATCTTGGTTTTCTCATCTATAAAATGGAGACACTGCTGACGCATGGAGTCGTGAGAATACACCAGAGAAGCAAGTAAGGGACTCAGTGCTGTGAGCTCCCCTTTCCACGAGGAAGTTCAAGGTAGGTGCCTCGGGTCAAGTTGAGAAGTTGCTGATTTGTTCTCTCGGGAAGAAGGACGAACCCCTATCACGCTATAGTAATTATTTCTTTATCGTATAAGGGAGCAGCTAATTCGACGTTAAGGAAGTAGGGTCCAGCAATAGAAGAGAAAGAGCAAACAGCTGGGGTTTACTTATGAGGTTTTTAAAGCCCCTCTGCAGCTGCATAGGTAGGTCTTTTGGTGAGGTGTGGGTGTGGCATCTTTGAAGTTTGCTAGAGGCAAGTGAGAAATAACTGGAAAGAAGAGAGTACCTGTTTAGATGACAAGGCAAATGAACGCATTTGGCTTCCCTCAGGAAACAAAATGAGTCTTTCACTGAATGAGAGTTTATCATGGTTTACAGGGCGTATAGTTCATGAGTCTTCTGGGCTGGGCAGTGGGTTGGGCCGGTTTTATGATTTACCAGCAGCCAGGCACTGAGCACAGTGCTTGAACCCTCCGAACCTTGGTTTTCTCATCTATAAAATGGAGACACTGCTGACGCATGGAGTCGTGAGAATACATCAGAGAAGCAAGTAAGGGACTCAGTGCTGTGAGCTCCCCTTTCCACGAGGAAGTTCAAGGTAGGTGCCTCGGGTCAAGTTGAGAAGTTGCTGTTTTGTTCTCTCGGGAAGAAGGACGAACCCCTATCACGCTATAGTAATTATTTCTTTATCGTATAAGGGAGCAGCTAATTCGACATTAAGAAAGTGGGGTCCAACAATAGAAGAGAAAGAGCAAACAGTTGGGGTTTACTTCCTTATGAGGTTTTTAAAGCCCCTCTGCGGCTGCATATGTAGGTCTTTTGGTGAGGTGTGGGTGTGGCAACCTTTGAAGTTTGTTAGA